CAGACAGCATCCAACATCTGCAGGGTTCTTGTAGGAGCGTTCATGTAAATAATGTCACCGTAATCAATGGAGGGAAGGAAAGTCACAGTTACAAGGTGTTTCCTAGCAATCAGAGTTAGACCGGATCTGTTTCTGAAAAAGAAACCCAGTTTAACTTTAAGTTTCTTTACTAGGTTTTCCACATGGAGCTGGAGCGAGTCGACCAAGATACCCAAATATTTATAGGAATCAACAAACTCAATAGGGACATCATTTGAGGATAAAATCGAAGGAAGAACTGCTGGGACCGACTTCCTGTTTGAAAAAGGCATCCCTTTGGTTTTATCAGCATTGAAGACAAGTTTGAGGAGGAACAAATCTGACTGGATGATGTGAAATGCAGATTTCAAAACCTGGAAAGCCTTAGCAACTGTTTTAGCTCGACAAAAAACAACTGTGTCATCAGCATAGAAATGTATGGATGCGTCAAGAATGCTCTGACCTACATTACCTATGTAGATTGTAAAGAGGGTGGGTCCTAAGACTGAGCCTTGTGGTACACCATTGTTGACTGTTAAATAACTGGAGGAAGTGTCATTATGTTGAACAAATTGCCTCTAATCTGAGAGATACAGTGAGGAAAATAAGTATTTGAACACCCTGCGACTTTGCAAGTTCTCCCACTTAGAAATCATGGAGGGGTCTGAAATTTTCATCTTAGGTGCATGTCCACTGTGAGAGACATAATCTAAAAGAAAAATTCGGAAATCACAATGCATGATTTTTAAATAATTTATAAGTTTTTGAACACCTGCCAATCAGCAACAGTTCTGGCCCTCAAAGACCTGTTAGTCCACCTCTATAACGTCCACCTCCACTTCACTTATTATTCTAAATTAGAAGCACCTGTTTGAGGTCGGTAGCTGCATAAAGACACCTGTCCACCCCACACAATCAGTAATACTCCAACTACTAACATGGCTAAGACCAAAGAGCTGTCCAAAGACACCAGAGACAAAATTGTAGACCTCCACAAGGCTGGAAAGGGCTACGGGGCAATTGCCAAGCAGCTTGGTGAAAAAAGATCAACTGTTGGAGCAATTATTAGAAAATGGAAGAAGCTAAACATGACTGTCAATCTCCCTCGGACTGGGGCTCCATGCAAGATCTCACCTCGTGGCGTATCAGTGATCCTAAGAAAGGTGAGGAATCAGCCCAGAACTACACGGGAGGAGCTGCTCAATGACCTGAAGAGAGCTGGCACCACTGTTTCCATGGTTACTGTGGGTAATACACTAAGACGTCATAGTTTAAAATCATGCATGGCACGGAAGGTTCCCCTGGTTAAATCAGCGCACGTCCAGGCCCGTCTTAAGTTTGCCCATGACCATTTGGATGATCCAGAGGAGTCATGGGAGAAAGTTATGTGGTCAGATGTGACCAAAATAGAACTTTTTGGTCTTAATTTCACTCACCGTGTTTGGAGGACGAAGAATGATGAATACCATCCCAAATACACCATCCCTACTGTGAAGCATGGGGGTGGAAGCATCATGCTTTGGGGGTGTTTTTCTGCACATGGGACAGGACAACTGCACTGTATTAAGGAGAGGATGACGGGGGCCATGTAGTGAGAGATTTTGGGGAACAACCTCCTCCCCTCAGTGAGAGCATTGGAGATGGGTCGAGGCTGGGTCTTCCAACATGACAATGACCTGAAGCACACAGCCAGGAGAACCAAGGAGTGGCTCCGTAAGAAGCATATCAAGGTTCTGGAGCGGCCTAGCCAGTCTCCAGACCTAAATTTCTTGTTTATAGTTTATTTCATCGTTTTGTTGCTAATTAACCAATTCTGTTTAAAGCTGCTATTTTAGCCCTTCACCAGTCAGAATGTACAACTCAGCTGGGAACAGTTATGACTTTTAGTGTTTGTAACTTTTTGTTTAAAATTTAATTTTATGTTCAAATACATTTCCATAAATGCACATTGAGACATTTTTGACCTCTGGAAAAAAAAAAAAAAAACTTGTTTTCTGAAACCTACTTCACTATAATTGCTTAACTTTTTACTTCCTATGTTCATTTTAGCCACAGCCATGATTAATTTAAATTTTACCTCTGATTTAGCTCATTTTAGCTTGACGCTACTGTCTCTTTCTTGTTCTGCTTGTTTTATTATATTTACCCATTCTTCAGCAAATTTCATCAGTCATTCATCATTTTTGGAGAAAACAGTTTCTTTAAATTCCTTTTTTCGTATTTTCAAGACACATTTAAAATATCTTTAAATAATTACCCTTTTCCATGAGGAAAGCCTCATTTGTATCTGAACAAACCAACTCCTAATCTTCTCAGTCCTGACGGAGTCGACTTCAACTAATGACTTTTTGAAACCACAGTTGATGAAATCATTTTTAGCAGGAACGTTTTCCTCCTGAAGGTTTTGAACTAATCAGAGCACCACTGACCTTCTCAGATGGGTCCTTCAGGGCGCTGAGGTCCTCATCATCTTCATCCAGTATCTTCAGGGGCTTGTTAGAAGCTTTCTTTCCTTTGGATTCTGCTTTACCCTCAGAGTTCTGCACAAAACAGACACTGCCATGTTTTTAACCTCCATCAGAACAAGTGATACACCAAAGTCCCTCGTCCCCCCATCGCTGACAAGTTGGAACAGTGAATGTCTGTTTTTTCTGGACTGGAACTCAACAGGGAACGCAAGTAGACCTTAATGTTCCCAGCATAGATGGTATAATGATAAATCGAGTTTGAAAGGACTTTAGGAAGCGTTGCAACACTATTAGTACTGAATCTAAACTTGCCTTTATCTTGATACACTGTACAGGACCCTGACAAATTGTATATTTTATGGTAAAATCAAAACCATTTTTACTGTGGAAAATCTAATTCCCATCAAAGCTACATTTAGCCTAAATTAATTAAGAAGTTGAGTGCTTCACCTGTTCTTTCCCCTTGGCCTTCTTCAGGTAGTCTTCTACTGCGTCCACCGCCTGCTGAAATCTCTTTCCTTTGTTGATCTTGATCATCTCTTCTTTGTGGGCGTGGTAGGGCTTCAACTGTTCTACTTTGATCCAGGCGCTGCTCACACACACACACAGTCACTCTCTTACACACGAGGCACAAAGCAAGGACACGCTACTTTATGGCGACTCCTACTTACTGGTCTTCAGTTCCAAAAAACTTCACAAAGTGGCATTTTTTGCCCCTGGGCTTTTTCAGGTCCTTCGGAGGGCTCACTACCTAAAATACGCAAAACCCATTTGCAGCAATCAGTGATAAGAATGTGTTGAAACATGTCAATGTGAAGTTGTTGCTTCTTACCTTTCCTGGCCATGGTGGGTAACGGCCAAGCTTTCCCCTGAAACACAAGGACGCATTTCAATAATATCCTCCTGATGGTTGAATCCTTCCACTTTTCTGTGTTCAACCACATCTCAGCTCTAACCTTAGACAGAACAAGCTGCAGGCCCTGAACAGTTTTCTGCCTAAATGTAGCTTTTTGAACTTAACCTCACTTCAACTCACCGAACCAGAATATCTTAAACTGCATCTTTATTTAAGGTCACTTAAGGCCTTTAGCAAACTGGAAGTCATTTTACAGAAAAAGTGTGCAGGAAAACTTAAAGTGGACCAGTGGAACCTTCAGAGTCAGTGTTTCACTGGACTGTAACTGTGGGACGTACTAAAGTCCTATTCACACGGGATTAGTTTTACCTAGGGACCACATGTAATAAATAAATTACTCCCCAACATCTGCTTTTTATGTGGCACAGTCGCCCGGGAGAACCAAAGCCTGAGATTTAGCTGAAATTCTAGGACATTTTCCAGATATGATGTTAACGCGCTGCGTATTGTCTGTCTGTCTGTCTGTCTGTCTGTCTGTCTGTCTGTCTGTCTCTATCTATCTCTCTCTATCTCTCTCTGTCTCTCTCTCTCTCTATA